GACCCGGACCATACTCCATACCCATATCTCAGCAGTTCTGGACAGGCTCCACTGGCTCCGCATCACCAAATGATCGATTTGTCACTCATGTTCAAATCCTTTCACTCTCGGGTACCTCCCTACCTCTCCGACCTCCTCACTCCCAAATCGACTACCTGGTGCCTCGGCTCGACTTGCACCGGCCTCCTGCTCGTCCCTTGCACCCTCCGCCCCACCATCGGACGTTGTGCTTTCAGCCACTACTCCCCAAAACTCTGGAACACGCTCCCTGAATCCCTCCACCCATTTCTCTCTCCCCTATTTCAAGTCTCGCCTGAAAACCTTCCTCTTTGACCGTGCTTACAGCCACCTCCCCCAGGCTCAGAGTCAGGCTCCGCCACTGAGACACTACCCTGCATGGAGGGCGCTATATAAGTGCAAGTTTTTGTTGTTAACTGTTCCTTGTGAAATGTTGCACAAGTATGTAACTGCAGGTAAATTAAGCCAGTCTCTACCCATTACTGAAGGAACTTGACTGATGGACTCAGTTGACAGGGATCATAACTTCCAAGATTTTGGAGACTCACAATGCCTCAAAACGTAGAAAAGGAACTGCAGAATTATTCACACAATGACCAATTTAAGATAATGGTGCTAGAGTTAATCTTACGAAACTCTTGAAAAAGTGTACTTGGTAGGCGTGGAACAATAGGATTAATCAGAATTGCAAAGTTCTGCTTATGAATTGCTTTGTGTTCCAAGTACTGACGGTTCCAGAACCTGAGGAAGCAGAGAAATGATGGGCAAACGTGTACCGAAGAGTCAACAAAAACAGCACAAAAACAAAGACATGGCTCACTCCAAGAATGTGCTCTGCTCATTGTTTTAAAAACAAAGAATCCACTAAGGGATCGGAGCACTTTTACTAAAATAACTGACAGTAAGCCAGAGTTGTAATTTTATCAAATCGGATAATTTTTTCCAATTATTTTACAAACACGTGTACATATTTCACCACATTTGATTAAAAACGTATTACATGAATTGTTCAGTGACAACCAATTTACTGTTCAAAGAAAATAACAAGAACGTTGGAAAATGGGAATATGCTTCGGAAGAAACATTTATTTATGCAAATATTGACCTATTTCACTTCTATTTTCAAGCATTTTACCTATCAGTTAATTGATGTCCTGTAATACTACAAAACACTTAAAACATGGGTCAATAGCTGGTATCAGAAAGCACACAATTGAAAGCCATTCACTACGGATGGATATCATTAACGCCGCATACTTAGATAGGTTCCTCATGTTTCCAGACAGGAAATGAACCAAGTTCATATTGCGGTCAGAAAGCTTAACAGCTCAAGGACAGTTTTACTCCTGTTATTTTTTCTAGGGGCGGGGGGAGAGGGGGGATATTTTAAATACATCAACATAGCTTATAAACTATTTCCAATTATGTACATTTGTAAAAGGTTGGGATCAGCACAATATCTAGCATCTAATTATTTATTGATATCAGCAATCTCCAACGTTTAAAAATAGTTTAGGAGGAACTGGGTGGTGGAATTATTTACACCCTTCACTTATGGGACCTGGTTTAAAACACAGGCCACATTGGTGGGTTGAAAGGATCCTCCGTTAAACAAATTGCCAATCTTATTCCAGAACCAAGTAAGCCTGGGAATTCTGTACAAAATTGCCTTCAACTTAGCACTAAAGTAGAATTCTCAGAGACCACAGGATGGCTAGTACACAAAGAGGAAAATATGCGGGTGCAATAAAGATTGTTTTTTGAGGCTGAGGCACACAATTGAAACAAGTAGAGGAGGCTTTGCTCTGCATCTCGTGCTACACTTGGCTTCTGAGTACTTGATGCAGACGAAAAGATCTGGAACAACTTAAACTGAGCTTCACTTAAATGTGCATTTCATCATAAAGCAGCTGACACGTAAAGAAAATGCTACATGGTTATGTCATACTAAGTAAGTAAGTTGAACACGATTTATGGATGGTGCAGAAAGATTCTGTATGATAAACATTTCACAGTAATATTTTCAGACAACAAAATCTTTGTTCAGTAAAATAATGGAATGAACAGTATTTCCAAAAAGTTCAACTGATTTAGAATGAGGGAGAAAGCTTATGCCAGTAGGTCTGATCCTATTTTATTTCATCCCTTCAGTCATTTGTGCAGAAATTCAGCAACACAATTGAAGTAGATATTTAATGAAATAATTCAGACCGATGTAAACACATAGAAAAGATTTTCTTCAACAAATGCAGTTGATGTATACGTTTCCATTAAAGTAGTTATAAAGGTGTGCGAGTATGAAAACACATCACATGATCTGAAAGTTTGGATTCTGACACTTGCCACAAACATCAAACTTTTCACATAAACTGTATCTGGAATTCTTTCACTCATGTAATTTTCCCAACTGTGCAGCTCTTCAGTTTCAAATATCTCAATCACAGATTTTCCCAATACTATTGAAAAAGTCATCTCAAACCCTACATTTTAGCAGCACAAAATCAGTTATTCAATGTCAATTGGGATGCTTACTTGACAAAGTAAATAATCCCACAGATGCATTTTACACACGAGAAAGAAAAAAAAAGGAAATTGACTAGTTATTTCAAGTCTGCTTTATATCTTCTTGGTATGTAAAGTTAAGAAATTAATCCTGAATTAGTTGCAAAGCAACACTATGAAGGTGGACTGCAAAAGCGTTACAAAAAAATCTGTACCTCATAGATTTCTTTGAATAAGATTGACTAATATATTTCACGTAACTTCAGTCTTGAGGAGGCTGCTCCTCCACTTGAACCTACCTTCTGCAATGCATTTGAAAACACTCCATCTCAGTATTCACTCAGCCTTTTCAGAAAAGTCCACAATTTAAGAGATTTCCCTCCATCATATTTCCCTTTTCCAATAACGCAGACCTCCTACAGTTCAAATCTGTATGACTTTCTCATTCTGGGAATGTGCTGTAATCAATTTCATTTGAAATATGCGCATTAACCTTTAACCTTCCACAACTAGCAAGCCAGAATCTTTGCCAAGCTCAGTGGCTTTCTGATGGTTGATACAATCACTGTTCATCTGAGAACAAAAATATTCCAGCAGCCTGCAGACCATCACATTGAAGGAAACCAAAAGAGCAAAAGCCCACTGCCTGCCAAAAACTAAGGATAAAGTATTTGAAAGTGTTATGTACAATCCCAGCTTAAGCTGATCAGCAAAGCAGGATTCTTTGACAAAGAACAACTTCCAAGTGAATCACGACATTCTTGAGGGCGAAGTGTGTGGTGAGCTGTACAATTCCAGCCTTATTTTCATGAAATCAAAAGCGACACGGTTTAGATTCTTTGTTGGTCACCTGCATTCACTGAAAAATTATTTAAATGCCATGATATTCTGTAGTGTGTAAGTAGACTCATATTTGGGGACTTATTTTAGCCAACAGTGCATTATCAACAAAAATAGTTCAGCCAATACTGTAGCTGCAATCAAAATCCATTAAGATTTTTAAAGCAACAACACACAAAGTTTGTCAAAATGAATTTAAACCAATATCACTTTGTGCTGCTTGTACACTAGTGAATTAATCAGGTCAGCCAGGGATTGCTGCATCCATTTAAAAATAAAAAGATTATAGATCATACTGCTGGACTGATCTGTCAGTGGGGCAAATGGTTGTGTTCAGAACTTACATTTTGAAGAAATAAAACACAAATGATTCGAAACCTAGTTTACAGACATTTTACACGGCAATTTCAGTTAATTTCTTTAGCCCTCCCAACTAATAAAGATTTTAAAACATAGGATAATGCACCTTCAAATCTGTCTTGTGCCCAATTGTAAGTGTACTTCACTCATATAATTGTAAGACCAGTATCAATCATCCATGATGTATACAGATTTGTGCCATTTTGGAAACATTTTGTTCAGACCAAATGAATCAAGAGATCTTAGCCAGGCTTATTTCTTGAATACAGTTGTGAACTAACCGACTAGCATTTGGGAAGGTCAACTTCATAGTTAACAAAGCAGTTCAATCCCTCCAGAAAAACTGATTTTATGAATGCAACAGTTGAATTAATCATATTTGCAGGAAAAATGGGAAGAGCCCATTTTTATTAAACAAAAAATCCCCCAAACGGTTAGGTAACGACATTACCTACATTAACACATCTAAGCTTTGTTCTACCAAATGAACATTTGAGTTCAATAACGTTCAGATTCTTCTTTCCAACAGGTGAAAAATAAATTCTCTGATCACTCTGGCACAAACTCGATGGGCCGAATGGCCTCTTTTTTGTGCTGTATGATCCTATGATTCTGTACTCGTATCAGGAGCTCAACGTGCAATTCAAAGCTGAGCTTTGGCATTCCACACTTCTGAAACCTTGAAGTCTAAAATGCACAAATCTGACTAAATATTGTAGACACAGTTTAAGACTAAATCCACAGAAGGACCATGCTATTTTTAATTGTTCCCATTGAGCAATTTACACTTCTGCTCCACATTTACTGGTTCAATGACTGAACTGCCAGAATAGCAAATGTGGATATATAGGTTATGCCTACATTTTAAATTTAACATTTAAACATTTAAAATGTACCAGGAAAAGCCTGCAAATTATATAATTTTACCAGAGAATGTTGAATACCTTTCAGGGCTTGACATACTAGGTTGCATACACAGCAAAATGTGCACACGATAACTTGACCATTAAAACCAGGTTAATTATTGCAAGGATGAAATGTTGACACATTGTTCAGCATAAATAGATAATTCAGTGAAAGAAAGTATAATTCATGCAAGGAGTAAGTCATTTTCACAAAATTATACATTTTCTGTGGTAGAAAATTATGGCCTCAAACTAGAGATTTAGCAAATAGAGGTTGCAATCCTTCTTTAAGTCAGTTTGCAATTGTGATCTGAGACAGTGTCAAAGTATTCGGGAGACAAGTGCAGCAAGAAACAAGTTCAACAAAGCCACAGGTCAGATTGTAAAGAGTTTTATTACAATTTGGTGACATGAATGAGAATCATGTGGCTTCGTAGTAGTTAGGATGGATAGCTGTAAGAGACCATTTCTACCCCCCCCACCCCCAAATCGTCACTCATCATCTTGCCGTTTTATCAACTCTGTTCACCTTCATTTCCTACTTGTTTTAAAAAAAAATCCTTCATTTTGCTTTACTTTATCCCAAATATTGCTCGTTAATTCTCTGGTTTAGTTTGATTTGTCTTATTCATCTTTAGTTCTATTTTTTCATCAACTTCCAACTTCTTTACCTCGTTTCAATATCAGCTGAGAACCTCTTAAAGTGTCCACTGTAAGTGACATGAGTTGCTTTTAGGGAGGGAGAGGGCAACGGGGACAGGGGGCAAGGAGAGAATGCCTGTGAAGATGATTACAACAGCTTCAGAACCTGCTGCTTTTGAGGTCTCAAAGGTATAAGACATTATTCATTCAGAAAGTTTGAATGGTAGAAGAGTCAACGATTTAAATTTGGAACATTCTTTGTTGGGAATCCAATCCTCCACCAGATACAGGTATAGATTCCATTTGGCCCCTCTTAAATTTAGGGTATAAAAATTAGTTATCAAAGTTGCTAAAATCAGGTCAACAAGTCACAACTGTACACAGAAAAGAACCAGTTTCACACATGTAAAAAAAATGTGGGGATGTCCAAATCAATGTTGAACTTATTTATGTGCAATATGTCAAAACTGTTAACAACAACCTGCATTTACGTAGCACCCTTCGCACGGGATAGCGTCCTGGAGCGCTTAAAACCGGTCCTTAACCAAAAATGACCATGTTATTTTTCCTCTTGATCGATCAAACTTTTTTTTTACATTTTAAAAAAAGAAAAGATTGAGGATTAAAGAGCAACAGCAGCAATTTGCAGAAATGTTTTACATTACTAAATTCAGCAGGAATTACACTTGAAGCGCAGCCTTTTTCTCAGTTATAATTGTGTGGAGCTCATCTGCATCTTCAGAGGTTTTCACCCGGATCAAAATTGGGATAGCAGCATCAGGATTCTGGTCATCAATGGGCGGGTTAGGAACACAGACAATGAGGATGTTGTTCTTTCCAGTCCTCGTACAAGGTAGCGATGGGTGGAGCATAATATTCAGCAAAATATTTCCTATGTTAAATAAGAAAAAAAGGCAATAGGTTTAAGGAAGAAGAAAAAGTTATGTCTGAGCAAAACCTGTCTCTTCCATCCTCTTTGTTGGGGAACTGCAGACAAGTGTGATGGTCCACAAAAATTCAACTTGACCATTTTTGTGTTCACATCAATAAATTTTCATGCTGATAAATTAGGTCAAACTGATGCAGATAGAAGCATTTCACCATTTTTAGGCAATCCCCTCCCCTTTTGTAAAATATGTACATTTGAAAAGGAAAAAATCTCATCTTGTGTTATAATAATAATCCTTGCAATTGATATAGTGCTTTTTACGTCTTCTAGATACCTCAAAGCACCACAAAATATACTGTAAAGTGAATTAACAGTATATTTGTGGGAGATATATATATATATATAAATGTTATGTACATTTAATGCTTAAAAATGCATGACGTTTCTGCAAGCTTTACAAACATTACTTGGAAGTAAAATGTAAACGAAGGAACTCACCTAGGTTGGTATCTGCTCGCACTAACAATTGAATCTTTTGATCTGCCACAGGTTTCAAATGGATTGTTCCTATTCCTTTATCCTTGAAGTCTCCATCTTTCTTGTAGAACAGTTTACATCTAAAGAGAATCAAGACTAGAGGTTGCTTGAAAACTTGAAAATTATACACAATATACTCTTCAGCAAGCTCAAACCCAAAATGCACAGGTAACCATTTTAATCACAGTACAGTATTAACACCTGACTCCTCAGGTGAGAGAACAGGTTAACACTGGATGAGTGTCTTTCTTGGGGAGGTAGAAGGAGGAATGCTAGTCTCAACTTGGCAGCTTATACACCTGGAGATTTGTTGGGTGTGGTAACCAGGAGCGACATGCAAACTTTTTGCACGACAAGGGGACCTTACTTTTATTTGTTCAGTTCTGAGAGATGAAACTCGTAAATACCACATGTGGAAAATTTAGCACTCCCATCAATCAGATTTTACTTTCCTTTACGTACAGAGGCAGATGAATACAGAGATGATTTTGGATCCCATCTTGTGGATTACAATGAATTACTATGATCTTGTACAAAACAAAATGTACTGAAAAATTGCACGCTTGCTTCACAATTGAGTTCAGTTTTTTGCAGCACATCTAAAACACAAACCAGACATACTTTTTGGAAAAGAAGGCATCCTCCTCTTTGATTTCATTCACAACTGGTTCAGGCGGCTCTTCATTCTCTTGATCTCCTTTTTCATCTAAAATTTCAAAAAGAAGCAAGACAGTTCAGAAAATGAATCATGCATACATACAACAGATTGCTGAATGTACATGAGACATTCAGCAATTAGGATATAATAAAACGAGTAGGGGTGTGTACAATGCTTGTTTTCCACACGGTCGAATGCTTTAGCACTTAGCTTTGCCTTGTGGCAAAACAATCACAAGCATGGTTAAAAATCCACATGCATTCTTGCTCATTTGGCATGAGGTCACAAAAATTAAAGTAGTAATTTCTGAGTTTGAATCTGTATGAATATTGGCAACAGCTTGAGGCAGGATGTTTTCTCCATGTGCCAAGAAATAACACAAGACTTCCTCCACAAGTATATTGCAGTTTTTAAAATGTAACAGTGTTAAAATGGCTATAACCATGAACTACCAATACCTAATAACTCTCTCAATTCAAAGTTTCTGTTTCGATTCTTCATAGCAACATTCAAAACTAAGCCTTGGTCAAGTTCAGTCTGCTGTGCAATGCAACGTTGAATAAAATCTAGCTACATAGCTGTTTAAAAAGCATGCAATTAACTTCTTTTAATACACAGCTTACTGGTGGTTAGAATTTTTTTCCCTACGTGTCCAAATATTCTGAACCAAATGAAAGATACATTAATTTGAAAACAAAACCATACAACAGGATTAAAGCTATTATACCCTGTAAAAAAAGGGGCCCACTTTATCAAAATAGACAATCCCATGACTTGCACCAAACTACCAATGCTAAAAATAGCATAAATTTGAAAACAAAATTGACATTTTAATGTTAAGTTGAATAGCTTTACATCACAAAATAAACTGAGAAATGAGGATTTATATTACTGTACATTGTCGTTGAGTAATAATCCTTGCATCTGATATAGCACCTTATCAAGTGTTCGAGATGTCTGAAAGTTCTTTGCTGAATATACCATAAAGTGAACTGACTATATTTTGTGGGCGAAACGCAGTAGCCAAATGTGCACAGCAGTATCCCACAAACAGTCGTGGATTGAAGTGACCACATTATTTTTGTTTATTTTGAAGAAATTATTGAAGGAGTAAGAGGATCAATCTGGGAAACTAATTCAGAGATTCTAAATGTAAAGTAATGAAATCTTAAAATTAATTTATTTGAACTATGGCTCATATTCTTAAAATGGTTTAAAAAGAACTTTGCAAGCTGCCAGTGGTAAAATAATTTGTTGAATTAAACCAGCACAACTTTGATTAAATGGAACAAAGAAGGTTGATGGGTGACCTGATATGAGATGTTCAGAATTATGAGGGATTTTGATAGTCAGTAGGAAGAAATTATTTTCACTAATCGGTGAGTCAGTAACCAGAAGGCATCAATTTAAGATTATTAGTAAAAGAGCAAATGGGGAGGTTAGAAAAAAGTTTTTCAGGCACAGAGAAGTTAAGATAATGGAATGCCCTACAGGGAGCAGTACTTGAGGCTAAAATCTCTACAAGACAAGATACCTGAAAAATAGTCAACTGCAGGGGTAAGGGGGAAAAAGGTAAGTAAATGGGACTGAAAGGATTGCTGTTGAGGGAGCGATGGGCCAAATAATAACAGCATTTGATATAGAGCTTCATCACATCTTCAAGACTATTATTAAATAACTAATTAAAATTAATTATAAAAACTAATGGCCTTCTTCTGTGCCATATATTTGTATGCTGGGTATTATATCCCCAGCTTGTGGTGAATTTATTGACTCTCAGCTGAAGCACCATCGTGGTGCTACAAATGGGATCCAAGTCTCTGAATTCGGAAGCATTAAGAGTCATCCAGGGTTCATTTTCCTGAAACGTGCGCTAATTTGGATCCCAGATCTACTTGACTGTGATCCCCTTCCTCTCCCCCAAATTTTCTAATTCTTACTGCTGAAAAAATAACTTGAGTAATCAAATAAGAATAAATGAGTTTCAAAAGAACCACAGCCAAACAAATATGAATCACCACCTTCAGGAGAGTGGAGAAATAAAAACTTGGCAGCTCTTCTGAACCTTATTCTTGTAAAGACAAAATCACAGATTACTTGAGATATGTTGCAATTGGAGATTAAGAGATTGAAAATCAGCAAGTTGCAGCATATAAATAAACTCGGAAGTAAAATTACTGTAGTTACTGTTTTAGTTTCGAAAGAGAACAATTTCTACTGTGGAATCTAAAAAACGTAACATTCCACCTGAAAGCACAGAGCAGAATTAACTGCAGTGCAATAAGTCTAATGTTTACTTAGTTGTGCAGTGGAAGTGTATACGTAGTCTGCATAGTGATCAACATGAAATGGTTATGTGGCCACCAAATGACAAATGGGAGCTCTGAAATGGCTGTGTGCCCAGACTCAGAATGTTTCGTATTCAGAGTAAACGTTAGAATATCCTTCCCCCCTCCAAGTAGCAATAATCATCAGCAACATGCTGTGAGCTGATGGAAAATCTTCAGCAGTAAACCGTACCCATTGCACACAATTGCGTGTGCATACACAGGAAATGCAAAACACACCTTAGATTCACAGATACATACTGTTGGTACAAGCAGTCTTAACTAAAGAAGCAAGAATTGTAGGTTGCTTCGTAAATACTGCAGTTAGGACGACTTGTTTCAATAAGACAAGCACACGGTCAGCTTCCATGAAAATCTAATGCTGTACTTAAAAGCTATAATGCCTCAGTTTAATTTACATGGAGTTTCAGAATGTTATAAAATTATTCCTGGTAACAGACAGATCAACACCACTTGTAAATAATGTGAGCTAGATACGCCAATCTCCACATTTCAAACACATGGACCAACTATCCTTCATTTTTGACATTGTTTGATTTAAAAAAAAACTAATTTGAAAAAACAAAATTTGAATAGCCCGTGTTCCTCATAATTTGTACCACAAAAATGTAAACCTGTACATTTTGTCTCCCCACCCCTTCCAGGACTCAGTGTTTGACCAATCTTTCAATGAACCTCTATAGCACTTGTTTACAAACGAGCGAGGAACAGTTGGGGGATTATGGATAACCAGCTTGTAGCAGGCAGCTTGTTGACTGAAAATTAGTATTAGTACATCCCTTTCACAAATCAGCATCTCCTTCAGAAGGGAGACAGTTCATTTTTTAAAAAAAAACTAATTTTACAACAGATGGCATTCTATGCAGTATTTTCCATTGACGGAGGTGTGTAAATTAGACTGGGTGTACAGTAAAGTTGTTGTTGGACTGTCTAGCATTTCTTCAGCCTCTAATACTAATTTCACTCCTTAATCCTTCACCAATACCATGCTTAGGTGTCAGCCTTGCTCAGTTGGTAGCACTCATCTCAGAGTCAGAAGCCCAAAGTCAATGCTGGGGGAGTGCTGCATAGTCAGAGGTGTCATCCTTTGGAACAAACATTAATCCTGGGTCCCATCTACCTGTTCAGGTCCTGTGGCAAGATTTGAACAGAAAAGGGAGATTCTCCCAGTGTCACACCCAACAATCACCCAGATAAAATTGATCATTTCATGGCTTTTTTGGGACGATATTGTGCGCAAATAGGTTACTGAGTTTACCAACCATTATACAGTTACTTCAATGTGAAATTCTGTGAAGCATTTTGAGAAGTCTCAACAACATGATAAGGTGCAATATCCCGCCCCCTTTCAAGACGCCTTAAAACATATCCATGGCAACATTTTTGGCCAGCATTCCCCTCATACCCACCCTCCCCATCCACACAAGCTGAGGTGACCATCCAGAACTGTGAAGCATTTCAGGAAGTCTTCCTGACATCTTAAATGAACCTAAATTGTACTGTACATCAATTGAAAGGATTATTATTACAGTAGAAATGGGCCACAGAATGTTGTTTGCATCCACAGAAATATTCAGAACATCCTAATGATTGAAGCACAAATGCTTCGCACCAATACAAAACTTCCTAAAACTATTAAATATTCAAATTAATTTAATTATCAAAGTTAAATGGCAAGATTCTGAAAAACACCAGCTATTCAATCCAGAGCACTTCATGATCCCACCCTATCCGCCCAACCAGACAGGCGCCCGGCCCACCCCACCATTTGCTGTCAGGCCTTCAGCCTCCCCACCCTTGACTCCACAGTCCTTTCGCCTCGCTCCCTTGCCTCCTTCAAGGCATATCTCAAGCCGCTCCTCTTTGACCGTGCCTTCAGCCACCCTCCTACCCCTACACTTTTCAATAAGAATAAACATGAATTGCAAGTTTACGATTCAGATAGGTAAGCACCCATTTGGCAAGGCATTGATAAGAAAAATGCAGTTGCAGTTTCCACTGAAGCAGTGATTTCATGAGAATTTATGCAAAAAAGAAAACTTTTCAAAGCAATTATTGCTCCTTTTCCTTCTAAAAGAGAGCCATTTACTTTTTTCAAAAATAAAGGCACTTGTTCAAATGTCATGGGGGTGGGGGGTGGGGTGATATGCAACATCCAGATAACTGACTGCTGTCATTTGTACCTCTGGAATTCCATCCCTCAATCACTCCGCCTCGCCCCCTCCTTAGCCTCCTTCAAGTCCCGCCTCAAGACCCTCCTCTTCGACCATGTCATCGGTCACCCCCCTTCCCTCTCCCAACCTGACCCTAGGTCGGGTCTGAAATGCTGTACACTGTCAAGCACTTTGGGACGTCCTCTCGACGTGAAAGGCGCTATACAAACTGTGAAATAACATGAAATGCCCTTTATGAAATAATCTTAGTACTTTTGATGCTCACACCATAATTACATTGATCTACTTTATTAGTCGTATTCAAAGTATAGGATTTTTAGTTATTTATGTTATCTTAGTAAACTACATGGAGACTGTTTTTTTTGAAGCTTAGGGAGGTTCACTGTGACAAAGTTTGAGAAGCCCTGCATGAATAGTCGGAAACAAGAACTAAAGTCATAATATGAAAAGGAACAAAACAGATTTAACAAGAACCTTGTCCTTGGCTTTATCTCAAGGTTTTCGGGAAATGGCACAGTGACAACAACCTACTTTTCACAACTTCAGATCATTATAATAATTGCATTTGATATACGGCCTTATCTCCTCTTCGAGACGTCTCAATGCGCTTCACAGTGAATTGACTGTATATTTTGGGGGTGAAATGTGTGGAATATCAGGTAAATGAAAAAAAATTCTGTTTGCTGAATCAATATTGAAGCTGGTGAGCTACTTCGCATAAGCCTAGAGATTTGGAAGTTAAACTTTCAATCACAAAGCTGATTTTAGCAGATAACACTGCAAAGAAGTCGACCTCCTTATTTTAGCCACGTGTAGCACTAAGTACAAATGAATCTGTACCCCTTAATGGTGTTGCAAGAGAGAAGCAAAGGGAATCAAACTAATAAGTTTGAAGTGCAACAAAAGGCGCCCAAATAAAAGATGTTGCTGTTTTCTCACCAATATAGCTGTGGTTGTGGCAAAAGCAGGAAAAGTATATGAGCATCAACTGCTTCTCTCCAAACCACAATTTAAACGAAGCATCAATTAGATATCACTCAAATTGCCAAGAATTACACAATTACAATTTGTTCAGAAAATAAAAATGGTACATTAATACATTTTGAAACTTTTTTTGGTTAAGAGGTTGCCTGACTCCTTCAGGATTTTGTGCCTAAAAAATGACCACACATTTTTAATCTTAGAGCTGGTTTTCTCAACTGCTGGTGAAATTTATCTTTACCCCACACCCTAGGCATGAATGCCTTTATCTGGAAGACAAAATTGAGCACTTGGACCACCCTAAAAAAACATGCAATATCAATACAATAAAACTCAAACATTCTAACTTAATAACTAAATAGTCCCCACTGTATGAATGATGCTGGTACACTGACAATTGTCAACTGTCGGCACCAACAAATGCACTGTAATATCTGTATAGCCACTCAAAATAAAGAAATCATCCTTGCATTTGATACAGCTCCTCATCATGCCATTGAAAGGTCTCAAAGTGCTTCTCAGGATTTACTATAGGTTGTAGTGTCTAGTTAAAAACAGCCATGTACAGCAAACAGTATTGAGATAAGTCTCCCCATCACCTCTACTGGTCCAGATATATGCCATCCATCCTATTCCCCTACTCCAAATGAGCTTGACTATATCCATAAAATCCATCAAAATTGAATCAGTCCATAAATAGGTCAATTAGATGCCTCATAGTGTTAAACTCCCAATTACAAATGACTGCTGTTCTGACAAAGTGTTTCATTTTTAATTAAAAATAAATATGCTCAGAGTCTCTAACAGAGGGCATTGCACATCAACCTTCTCAGTTGAGAAAGAATAAGGGAAATGGAAAACATCTGATTGAGATGCACTTCAGTACTTGTTTTGTGATGAGACCCAGCCAAAAAATTGTGTTCACTGAATGGCATTACATTTATTCTGGGTTGTGTAATCTTTCAAATTTCATCACTACACATTACTGTGGAGCGCTTTGAGATGCCCTCAAAATGAAAAGTACTATAACAAATGCAAAAATTAGAATACTTTTTTTTTTGAATTGATACATATAAAGTCATGTTCATTTAAATTACATTTGTACCACATTCATACCTTTATTTTCACTGTCTTTTACTTCTTCTGAGTTGCCGGCAGACACTGTGAAGGAGAAGGTAGGAGCAGCAGTCTTGCCTTGGTTACCATCTTTTCCAAATAATGAGCCTGAGACACCACTGCTGAAAGAGAAGCCGGCCATGGGAGAGTTTTCCACCTTTTTCCCAAAGAGGAAGCCAGCATTCCCACTATTTCCTGAAGTGATGTCTGCCTTTTTCTCGGAGGTGAATGGTGCTGTATCCTTGCTCTTGTCAGCTGAGAATAAAGATAAAGATGGGGAAGCACCTCGTGGTATTTTGGAAGCACCAAACGTGGAAACAGATTGCATTTCTGGCCTCTTGTTGCTGGTACCACTTTCTGAGCCACTGTCAGAGCTGCTGCCATATTTCTGCTCAATGCTTGTCAAATGCTTCTCATAGTCCTTGAAGATTGGGGTCAAGTCACAGAGTGGATTTTCATTGACATGTTTCGTGATCCAGTCTCGGACTGAGCAATTCAGCGCTGCTAGCTGTTTGTTGTACTCAGTGCTGCCCATTTTACTTTGAGAGCTGATCAGATTAATGCCATTTGTTTTTGTACCCATTTCGTCCTTTGCTAACTGATTTTGTGGAGGACCATTAGACTTAAGCGAATCTAGAAAAGGGGAATTAAACATTTAGATCTGCTACAATAAAACAAGAGATAAACATATTGGATCTTAGTTATGTAGATCATGATTTCATTTCAAAATCTTTAAATACACATGAGGTTTCAACTTCTACAACATGTATACAACAAACTTTTGATAGTGATTACATGAAAGTGATGTAAAAGAGACACTTCTTCCACTAAACTCAGATGCTTTCTTTTACTAATATCACGACTTGAAGAACAAAGTTGACTACTCACCCACTCTATTGGTTATATCACTAGCATAAGTGAACGTAGCAAATGAGGCAGAGGATGACGCTCCACTTCCGTTGGACAATCCCTGCAGAGGTTTGAAACTTGAACCGCTTCCAAATGCTCCAAACCCAGGAATTCCAGTTGATGGGGCAAGCCCAGGGAACCCTTTGAATACTCCACTACCTTCAGACTGAAACAATGCAAGATAAAATATTTATTTGACATGCCACTTTACAACAATAGCTGAAAACAAAGTAGTGTTTAAGAGTTAACACCTGCATTAAAATGCATCAAAAATATTAAATTCAAATGTTCCAGTCTCTGTACAGGTCATTGCAGTACCTTGCTTGGTCATGCGGCATTTTCTAAACGTGACTAATTTTAGAAAATAACACGCACAAGTTTCAGAAATCAGACACTGAAGTTATATACAGTTCATAATTTGGTACAATCCATCAGGGTCAACATAAGGAATTTACTCTTGGTGCATGAGGTAACAAACTGACAAGAATGGCTTTTCAGCAAGCAACAAACAGGCAAGCTAAAAACTCAAAAGTTATGGGTTTACCCAAAATTATCAGTGAGCACTCAATGAAACTGGTTTGAACAATCAGGCTTTCCTACCATTTTAAAAAGACCACAAATACAAATAAAGGACCACTTGTGTTTGAGTTTACATGAATTATACAGGTTTTAAAAAAAACATTGATTGAAATCAAGTAAAGCTATGCCTTTAAGATCTTAACCTGTCCTGTGCAGATCTAGTCAAGACCCGTCCTGTGCTGCACTGCCATCAACACATTAGCCTTTGTGCAGAGATTGCAGTTAATATCCATTTTACAGATAAATTAGCTCATAGACCATCAGTAGCACAATTGCACTGTGAATTACAAACACTGGTAGTAACCAAATTAGGATTGGCTTTTGCACAGGTAAAAATATCTACAACACATAAATCAAAAATAGCTCATTCTACAGGACAACTATTTTTTTGAAATTTAACATTGTGCCAATCAATTCTTGATCTCAAGACGAGCCATTTTTAAAAAAAAAACTTTAACCAGGTCCTGCATCTTACAAAGATGTAACAATTAAGTCTAGCATCTCAATTTTCTTTGTATTTATTTTACTTTTATTTTTGAACAATGATGTAATATCTGCAAGTGGATAGAAACCAGTGCTCAGGCTTCAAAAAGTGTTAATTAAAAGTACCACTAATCAGTTTCCAATTAAAGGCATCAGTAGCAGAAATCAAGTGAAATAATTGCATTTCTCCATTTTGACTATTAATATTGAGTTAACAGTACAAAGCCATGCGGATGGTCTGGGGAAAACCTGCAATTTTAAAGCTTGTAAAGAATAATCAATATTTCTGGTTCTTGTGGAGCATCTTCTAGAGCACACTTGGATTCAATGGATTTCAAAGTTAATTCTCTGAAGATTACATCATTCTAGTCAAAATCCAGCAGTTATTCTCAGCAGCAATACAAAAGGAGCATTGGGCAGCAAGCGGGCATTTTGAAAAACTTAACAGTTAATTCTCTAAAGGGTCAATGCCAGACTCTTAAATTATGGGAAACAATAGGATTTCACAAAACAACCCATCACAGCTGCGAGCACAATTCTGTACCGCTCATTAAATGGCCCTCCTCTCTACAAGGCAATTGAAATCTGACGGTACTGCTGCACATTTTATAAAACTGTTAAGTGCTGAAGGTGCCTTTTGCACGTCCAATTCTATCCTCAACAAGGCATATTGCAAGTCAGTAAGCATATTATAAATGTGTAAAGAATGTTCAGTACTCAGTGTTAAATATAGGTTTCCCACCAACTACAAGTGACTCATTTAGAAAAAGCTTTGAGTCATAACAAATTTTTATCACTGAAATCACACATTTTTTCTCAACAGTTGAATAAAACAAGCTCTTCAACCTTTTAACAGTTTTATGGTGGATTCTGAATCTCTAAATACTATCTAAGAGAATAGAATAAATTTTCCGCAGAAACTTGCCCCACAAAATACTGCCAAGTTTCACCATAGGATGCAAGATCATTATTTTTAAGGGCAAGTGCCAATGTGAAGCAGGTTCAGAACAAATGGGAAGCTAGTTCTTATGAATCTAATCATAAAACCAGCCCAATCTTCACAGGATGGCAAAGCATATTTTCACGCTGTTTGTGGAACCTTTCCAATGCTGAAATTAAAAATATGCTTAAGAGTGTACATGTACTATGATGTGAAATATGATTTATTTTGTCAAGCATTGCCACAATTCCACATTTATTTAAAGAAATTTAAGACCACAATGTTTAAGAGCTCATGTAACACTTGAAACACTGCAAGAAACTCAAAATACAAGAGATTCAGATAAAGAAGAAACCTTTTACCTAAGTCATATTATTCTTCCAGGAAAATGAATGATTATTACAGCACCAAGCTATTACTTAACCGAGCCCATGCCCCGGCGCGAACCACCATTCCATTAATAAACATAAACCCTAGAGATCCAGGTGCCAATAAAAATAAGCTTTCAACGCTTGACAGTCAAAAGCAGACAGACATAAAGCAGTGTTTCCAATGCGAACAAAAATTAAACACAAGATCCTCCAACATATCCTCAGTGGGGCAGAATTAAACCAGTTAGCAATGTCCCATATGTGAAGATCCACTATTTCAAAAAGTACTTGCTTCTTCAGGAAAAGGATAGAAAATTGAAAAGGAGGGGAAGAGAAAAATTGACATGAGGCATGTTAAAACAACTCAATGATGAACCTAATACACAAACTACCTTGGGTAGTACCTCACATTTCTCCCGTGTTATTAATTCAGATCCAACAAACAAAACATTCAAAAACAGAACAAGTTGAAAGACGGTGATTCCTTCTTGGTGAATTTTGTGTTTACCAAGGCCCCAACTAATGACAGATGCAGTATGGCAAGGGACAGAGTTAAGCTTCCTATTGTCAACATTATACTGTTCCTCCAATTTACACAAACCTATCCCTCTAACAGCTTTAAGGCCAGTGTTTCTCAATCTTTTTGGTATCAGGGACTGGCTCAGTTTGGTCCTCAGACCAATCACTGAGAAGCACCGTTTTCAACCAAATGAAATTGGCAGTGTTGCTTGCGCCCACAGGAATAGCTTTTGTATTAGGCTCTTTATAGTCAGAAGAATTTTATTTCAATTTGAATCAATCCAGAGTTCTGGATGTGAAGGTGCAGCGCACAACTCAGTTGCCCCTTAGCAATTTCACATTTTCTTTGGGAGCTGCTAAATAGAAAAACTGTGAAGTCTCATTCTAGTTGTCAACATCAAAGAAAACTATATTACCACAGTGCAACTGAGGAGAAGCAATGGACTTGATTCTTAACATACAAATGAATACAAGCCTCAGTTAGAACAGCAGGGAAGTTCCAGGAATACCTCAGTCACTGCTCTTGGGGAATATATAAGGGCAACCCAGTGGCAATCGACACTCCTCCTTCTGCAAATTCTTTTCACTCACAGATGACTTGAAGATACAAGCAATGTTCAGAACCTAGAAGTGTGACTATCATTTAGGACAATCAAGAGTAGCACTGCAGCAAACAGGGAAAATGGTACCCAGGTCATAACTTTTAGATACTTTGCTGTACACAGCAAGTACCATCAAGTCTTCTGTTCCACATATGTAGATGTCTTGTTTATTTAGGACTTAATATTTCTATCCTCTCAGTTGTTACATTGTGATAATATTTAAGAAAAACAGAAATTGTCACCAGTTGCTAACTTTTGAAACTCTGCTTCCAAATCAATGAAACGCATTTCAGAAATAGAATTTAAATTGTCACTCCATGATGATGCACCACCTACATCACACATTTGTAACAATGCATAATGCTGGCAGTAACTCAACTTATGTGAGAAGAGACCTCAGTTTGTTGTTCCCGTAATTTGAACATTCTAGCTTTAATCTGGTTGGTGGGGCAACAAAAGTACATTCAATACTATAACTGTTCCCATGCAAGCTAAGTTAAAGAAGCCATTTCTTTCTCTTCCTAAATTTCTGAAGCAATCATTGGTTAGTGGGGGAGGGGGGGAGGAAAGAGAGAGAAATTGAAGGAAAGAAGTTTATTACATTCACATCCAAGTGCTTTTTCCAATGTGTTCCATTGAAATCTAGTGACTGTACTAATGTGTGGACATCCATTTATACTAATGTATACTGGCAATGTCTCACAATCAGCAATGACACAAACCACTGTTCATCTGAACTCCCTACTCTGTGTATTCGGAGAACAGATCACCAGTAGTCAACACCTACCAATTTTCATTCTGATTCAGGTCTTCTGAACAGAACAGGGAAAATCAATAATTACAACCAGTAGCTATAAATAATCTTTCTTACCATTTGTGACAAGATGCATGGGATAATGATCTGTGAACTTTGCTGTCAACACAGGAGCTCAGAGTTAAGAGACAGAATATTCAACACACACAGAATACAGGATACATATGATGCTTTCATATCCCCAACAGGGCCAGTCCCAATTAGTGGGGGTATCAAGAACTCCATTGGAGTATCTTTAAATGAGCCTCAATCCTTTCAATAATGCATTACCATTGCAATTTATACAATTTCTTTACATCACCCCCAAAATGTAAATGCATTAAACATTGTCACACACTGCACTGTGTAAATAAAAGGAAACAAGGGGCTGCATAATCCTCACATAGTTAATTTCAACCAAATAGTGAGAACAGAAAAAATTCTCACAAGGGCAGTCCTATTATGGGATTGACATGGAATGAAGGACACATATGGTACAATATGGCTATCTTTTCATGCAGAATAGCGTCTTGTAGCACTGTATCCAGACAGTATTTTGCACCAATTCAAACCTTTTCTTATTAAAAAGCAAAACTGCCGAGCTTTAATACTTGCGTTGACTTTGTTTCAAATATTCTATAAACCAAGTCTCATTCTCCTTTGCTTCACAACAACAAAATTACATTTGTTCAGCGCCTTCACAAAACAGGTCCCTCAGGTTTAGGAAGCATGCATCTACAAGCTTAGAAACATGGGACACACTGTAGTAGCTGATGCTTACTGTGCATAATTTGTGGAAAGATATTAAAATGGTACGGAGCAACATATGACCATCATTTAAACTTTAATAATTTTTGTCTTTTATATGTAGACATCTGAAAAGCTCAATCACATTACTGTCTTGAAATAATTTTTAGGTTATTCCCCACAAGAACTGGAGACTAAGTGAAACTGAATAGTATAGCTAATTTGTCAGCTACACAGGCCTTGAAATTGCTGGTGTTCTCTCTCACCAATTACAGGATATTAATCTGCTTCTGAGACATTCAATCTCAAGAATATCTAAATGATGCCAATTCCTGTGCACATCACACAAGCGGGAGTTTAGATATTTTGACTGCCACTTTAAAGACTCAAATAGTCACTGTACGAATGCAGGATCAAAACTAAATCACAACGAGCAAAAAAAAAAAACATTTTCTCAGGAGAACCTCCTACACACGCATTGATGGTATGATTATTTCTCCCACATTACTTCAGCCATTTTGATCATACAATTCAAGATTGAGATGAAAATATGTGCATTTAATATCATGATGCAGAATGTTCCAGAAAAGCAACTTTACATGCTAAACTACGCAGGATAGAAATCAATAGTGCAAAGAAAGTATTGAGGGGGACGGAAAGACAGAAGGGGAAATCACTTAAGTTCAAACAAATTTTGAAAGACATCACAAAAATCCCTCAGCCACACACATTTGCTTTGGGAAGTCAAGAGTGGATGATGTACGTTATTCCCAAACTCCCATTAATTTATGCCTTAGGACATGAAATTAATTTTCTTTATGGCCAGAAAATTCTGAATGAATTGGAGAGATAAATCACAGGATGTTAAATGTCTGGAAGCATAAAGTGCCACATAATACATTTTAAATTGTAATTAAGTTACATAATTGTGTACTTGCCTCAGAGAGGATGTTTCTTCGTTTAGCTTTTTTGATAGCTCGGTTTTTCAACACATCCTCGCTTGCAACTGAGAAGGTTCCCGCCTGCGAAAACAAAGCACGCAAGTAGCAACAGGTAACAAGATGAATGATTCACTTACTTCAATACTGCAAATTCCCAAAAGCAAGAAAGACAAGCAGGAGTAGCATCCCTGCATTTTGAACTTAATTTTTAAATAATTTTGACTACATGCAATCACTCTCAACAAAACAATTTCAGCTCAAAATCTAGTGTTTCATGGATGAACCAAATTTGTGTTACATTTTTAATCTGCAATTTATAAACGGCAGCTTAACACAAGTAACAGGTATCTCCTTCAGCACTCAGTGCTCCAGCTGAAAGCCATTGCTCAGCTTGTGCAAGCACAGAACTCATTCTAGTTTATGCAAGGACTTATTTCCACATCTGTGGACACAAAAACTGTGGAAACACAGCTAAACAGATTTAGGAATCTGTGCAACTGATGTTGCCAGCAAGATTTGAAATGTAAAGAACTCAGAAATTTACACTGAACCTGTTCCTGAGCACTACCAGCAGGTATCAACTTAAGGGGCTTGGGAGATTTTCAAATGTACAAATAGACAATGAAAATAACTTTTAGATTTTAAACATTTGGCATTGCTCAATGCCTCCTGGTCAACTGTCTGATTGTATTTGTAAAGAACTCTTTTGATGAAATGCTGCATCATAGATGGACAACGAAAATAACTACATCAGTAACTTTTCTGGATCTCAGTGGTGGTGATAGTATGCAGTTTTAATGTTAATGAAATAATGGCTCCTGAGTTGAAGACTTGGGACTAATCAGGATGCAGATTTGGTCTGGGACAATGGAAAATCATGCTGAGCATAGGTAAAGCCAGTCAGCGCTCAGAAACGAATCAGCTGTAAAAATAACCTTTGCTGCTGTTGTATTCCTGATAAGCAACACTGAAGAGGCAAAGCTAACAGGAGCCAAATGAGACAAATCCCTGCTGTCAATTACTGGTCAGCCCCTCTAAGACCTGCCAACGAGCTAGGCTGGCTGTTCTGTCACAAGCAATGCCAGCCCTGGAGTTCTGCAGACCCACCCGGGTCAGAAACTGACCACTGAGAATGCCACAGAGAAGTGAGATTCAGACATTCCATTGCAAATCAAGTCACCTTAGAGCCAACTGAGCTCCAAGGAGACCCCAGTTACCACTTACCCCATCCCCTACCGCAAGCTGGCTTTAACGTAAAGCAATGTTAGAGCACCAAATCCGTCGATTGCCACTGACAATTTAGATTTGAGTTTATCTGCTTCAACATAGTGGATGAGCACTCTATCCAAAGGAGTATAGAATTCAGTTCATTTTAGAAATAATTAAGTAACTGGGCTAAAATTTGAGCATTTGGTGAAAATAAATGACTAAAACCATAGATTTTAAACATTTGGCATTGCTCAATGCCTCCTGGTCAACTGTCTTACTGTATTTGTAAACGACTCTTTTGATGAAATGCTGCATCATAGATGGACAATCTCAAGAGCTTATTTCTTTCAAAGTCAGTTACCAAAAGGTGAGAATTATCTGTCCACGCACAGTGTTAAATGGGAAACTAATGCACCACAAAAAGTAAATACTACTTCAAGAACAGCTAACTGACTACAAGTACAACCTGTTGCTGTGATTAATAGGTTTAGTCACGTAGTTAAAAGGCTATAGCCTGCAAGGTGGTCTGCCAAAATCACTAATGGCAAATTTAGCTTTTCATGAATTCATACATTAACAACAAAATTAAATTTTATAGTGCCTTTCACGTTGGGAGGACGTCCGAAGGCTCTGGATAGTCAGTGTTTCGGACCCGAGCTGATGGTCGGGATCAGGGAGGGTGGGTGGGGTAGAGGGTGACCGAAGGCACGGTCGAAGAGGAAGGTCTCGAGACGGGTCTTAAAAAAGGCAAGGGAGGGGGCGAGGCGGAGGGACTGCAGGATGGCATTCCAGAGGGTGGGGCAGAGTGGCTGAAGGCCAATGATGGGGCGGGCGAGAGACGTGAAGCAGGCTGGAGCCTTCTGAAAGTGCAGTTTTCTGCTGTCTTTAAACTTTAAACAATTATCCATTTGATGTTAATGGTGTGAAGGTATATTCAGAGCAAATTACTTTTAACTTTGCCGCTCAATTTTGTCCCTCGAACTGGTGGTGGATTAATTCCACTGCCTTAACCCACGTTGCTTGAAGCAGCAACAGTAATGGGATGGTGATCTCTCTCAAGCCATATAGTTAAGGAGTAGAGATTAGAAAGAAATTGAAGTCCACTCTATGATTCTGAAGTGTTACTCTCTCATATCAACTCAGAAGGCTATTTTTGAATTGAACTAGTTTCTCCTCCTTCTAGATTAGAAATACAATATAATGCAGTGTTACCAAATGCTGATGATTCACATGTTCACTTATCTGCATGGGGTTATTGCACATAAGTAAAGTTGGGCTATGATCTCTGCAAAATGAGAGAGAGAAAGAAATAGAGAAAAACCAAAAGAGAAAAAAAAAGAAAAAACGACTCACATACATATTATGTGTTCTGTCATGGCACCTCAGTTTTGGAAGGTTTGGTTAGTGTTCTGTACAGTAATAATAACTTGTTATTCGCATTGTTCTCAACTCCACTATGGGTCAGGCCCAATTTATGTAGATATAGGTCTCCCTGTTGGGCAGACCATGTCATCGCACAACTGAAATGCACAGGCAATTCGAGAAAAAGGCCATTTAGACAGACCTCTCAATTGTACAGAAGTTTCATTAATAATATTTTGCAATTACTTTTATGCCAAATTATCCTTTCCATGACGAACTCAAAAACTGAAAGTAAAACAATTCAAAATGTTTCAACGATGCTACCCAAACTCAAACATAACCCATAATATGGAACAGTATATAGGATTTGGTCAGCTTGCAATAGGCTTTTCCAAATTCACCACTGTGAAAACACACACTTGCTGGTACAATATTTAGTTTATTGCACAAATTACAAATCACTCCAAATCTTGATTAAATTTTTCAATAAAATGCCAGAATTTACTTATTCAATAATTTGCATTTATATAGGGCTTTTCACCAAGGAGAATGTCTCAAAGCACCTTGCAAAGACAAAGCAAGCTGGGAAGGAGATGGTGGGGGTAAGACACAAGTGGCCTGTAGTGCAGTTACAGAGATAGGTTTTTAAGATGGGTTTTGAAAGCAAACATGGAGGGAGGGAAATTTTGGAAGACTGACAGAAAGCTAGTGCAAAGTGGCTGAAAACATCTGATAATGGTTAGGTTCAGCAAATGTAGGACATGAAGCAGGTAGAGTGCAGAGGATGGGGAAATAGGCTCAAAGTGCCTTGTGGGAGAGAGAATATAGATTTCTCAATGAGCTGCAGTTGTGGAGGGTGGTGGAGCTGGCGGTTGGTGAAAAGAGAGTTGGACAAGTCAGGTTTGGAGGTGACAAAAGCTTAGTTGAAGGTTTTGGCCGTGTTGGGGTGAGGTAGTGAAAGAAGGGATGATTTTGCAGAGATAGACTTGGTTGGGACCAGGACGGAAGGTTTAAAGGAGAGTTAAAAGTTGAAAAAACCCACAAGGAAATCGGATTGGTTGATATGGTCAGCAGTGTCTGAGGTGAGGAGACTCTGGCAGAAGCTGAGGAGGACAGCCTGAATTTTATTGGAAGTTTTGTTGGAGAAAATTAAGGTACATCCAGGACTTGATGTCCGACAGTGAGCTTGTCAGAACAGTAGTGTTTCTGTAGTCAAGGATGAAGCCAGAAAAGTAGAGCTGGTCAGCATTCACATACCTTTGCAGGTAGACCCCAAGGCTGTGGATGATCTGACCAAGGGGGAAGCATGTCTGACAAAAAGGAGACAACTGAAGAACACATGTAATCTTGCAGGGGCAGGAGGAGAAGCTGTTAGAGACATAGTGAAAACACTGGGAACACTAGGGATAAAATCACAAATATGCAGAGCTCCAGAGGTATACCAAGGAGGAGAGTTGTGGAAAAGAAGAGAGGGCAACAGCATCAATAATGGTGGAGACATAGGGGAAGACAAGGAAGCACAAGGGGAACTCTGGTCACAGACAGAATTACTAGGCCTCAAGCAAGGTGCCTGAAACAACTCTCACACTGACAGTGAAAGATTTATTCAAATGCCCACTGAAAAAGATAGCTCTGTTCAGACTGCACTAATGCCCATTCATACTTACAGCTGTGAAGAGTGCTTTGGTACTGCACACATCTGAAGCCTCAAGAGAAAAAAGAACAAAATGGGATTTTTGTAGTATAAGAGCGCAGGGTACAAATAATGCATTAATCGGTGTTTTGTGCAGGTTAATGATTGCTTTTGTACAATGCAGTGTTCCTCCACCATAAGTGGTTAAACAAAGGTCATTTTTCAAGAATGGCAGCTGGGAGAACAGCTTGCGAGATTACATTTAAAACGCTGCCACCAGGATTCCCAAAAGCATACAAACCATACCACCTTTTGTGTATATAAATGTACATTCTAAATTCAAGAGTTACAAATCCATGCTCTTAATCGCAAAGTTTCTTGCCAGGCTCCCCTCCTGGCAATCTCTAATCTACTTACCAGTTGCCAACATCACCAAATTTAGGGATTTCATTACATACCAGGTTCAATTTCCTATCCCATTTAACATGCTAAAGGCTGCTCAAGGATGCATGAATCCCATCCAAATGCTACAAACATATAAAAATATTTGTTTGAAAAATTGTTGTGCTCCAATGTGACAAGATCACGAAATCCATCACTAATGGAAACCATTCACAAACCTCTTCAGATTCTTCCTCCTGATCCCAGTTCCGGTCAGTCAGCTCCTTATCCGCAGTTCTCTTTGCCATTATTATGTTACTGAAAACAGAATGGGTGAGATTATTCCTTTGATGTTACCAGAAAAGATAGGATCTTTATATAGAAAATTATCAAAGTTATACACTGTATTCAAGGGTATGATTTAAAAGAAAATGGACCCTTAAGTGTTACTAACATGTAGCTTGTAAAAGGTTTATCTGGGCTCACTGTGTATATTTTCCCTTTCAAAATTACAGGGCTCAGTTTTGCTGGCAAGAAAAAACACAGAAGACCTAATGGAGTATACCAAGCTGCATCATTTATTTCATTATATTTTTTATTTTATTATAGTTTAGTGGATAGCCTGTAGTCCCTGCCTGGTCACTGAAAATGAACCATTCAGACAATGAGGTCCAATGTTCAATATCGGTCCTATGCTGAATTAGTAGATCCCCACAATTCTACATTTAGCTTTATTTCCCTGCACAAGAAGAAAAAGAAATACTAACCAATGACTTCTGGAGAAAACTTGGCACTGGATGAGAATCAGTATGATTTGGACTCCCGCCCCTCCCCCCAGCCCACCCTTAAACAGTCGGTTATCAGTTACTGTCCAAGCTCATAAATGAAGAATGGCACTTGGGACAAGATACCATCTTCAGGTGGGCAAAAACAAATACAAGGTGAAATGAACAAACAAACTTTCTTTACTCACAAGACAAGTGCAGTGCCAAAAATATATGCTCAGATTGTGTGGAATAGAGAACCTGAAATCTATCACTGCCTCCTCCTGTACTATATTTCCTTATTTGTCAAATTCAAGAATTTCCCAAATACCCCTCTTTTGTATTCCACCTCTGATTATAACATCCATCACAAATTGGTCGAGTACCAGTTAGCAGGAACTACTGATGTAAGCATAAATAAATAAATTGTTCCAACAAAACACTTTTTCCATAATTAAACCTATCAAATTATGTGGCTGAAGTTCCTTGTACCAATACTGCAGCTTTGATATCAACACAAGCGAAAAAACTTCAATCATGAGGAACATGTGGCTCAGCCTGAGCAAAAACAATACAGTGGGTGGAATTCTCCACATTTGCAGCGCTGTTCCTGGATGATATTTCCACCCATTGCGCCTTCCCATTTGAAGCTAATACCAAAAAAAAACTTGTTCTTTACCGTGGGTAATCACTCCGCCTCGCCCCCTCCTTAACCTCCTTCAAGTCCCGCCTCAAGACCCTCTTCTTCGACCATGTCATCAGCCACCCCCCCCCCTTGCCCTCTCCTCCCTTCTCCCCCCACCCTGACCCCAGCTCGGGTCTGAAATGCTGTACACTGTCTAGTGCCTTGGGACATCCTCCCAACGTGAACGACGCTATACAAATGTAATCTTGTTGTTGTTGGGTTCAAACATATTCCAATAGAGAAAATATTGCACCTCCACTTGATCTTGAAGATTTTTACAAATCCGTAAGATGGAAGACCAGGATCAAGTGAAGAGAACCATAATCAAACCAAGACAGGTTATGAACATTATACTTAAACGTTTTGACTTCATGGTTTTACTTTCTTGTGTCTATTTCACTGGAGTCATTTAGTTAATTTATTTGAATTCAAGTCTGCCAGGTTGTGGAAAGAACTTTAAGGAATGGCTTTATTCTCTTGCCACTGTATGGAAGTTTTCCATATAGCAGAAACTTTTATTGACCAGCAAATGTCATAATGCAAGGAAAAAAAACGTAATTCTGGTACATCAATGAAATATAGTGATTGAATGTTTCAACTGCACTTTTTAAATTACTGTTGATACCATGACCAGGACTGGAATATAAACTAATGAATATAAATACTAAAACATATTCCCAATCCCACAAACTCCCATGAAGCATGCTCAGGCTTTATCACATTTCCCAGTGTGGCACAGATTGCACTATTGTCCTGTACCTACAATTCATATCAAGCCATGGAATATGCAACTATGAATACAAGTCATTATGCCATATCATGAGATTCAATAAATTGGAAGTTACTTACTACAATTCTGGTTTGGAGGAGTTAAGACCACCATATTACATACACGAGGATTTAATTTCAAAACTGCATGCAATTGATCAAAAGAATCAACTATAGTTGCTTGGAGGACCCATTCTGAAAGACAGAGGGAAGTTACTTACTGTTGTAATTCTCAATATCTAAATGCGGGTCCTCCATATACATAGTTAATTTTTTTCCAATGACAAAAGGTATGGGGTTAAAACCTGCTGAATAGATAGCCTTCAAATCTTTTTATAATTCACATAACAGGTATTTTAAAATTAAATATTAAATAGATTATCAACGCGTTTCTGCAAAGCAGAAAACATTAAACATACTATTTTTAAAAAAACGCATCTAACTGGTCAAATATTTTGTGCAATTCCTTTCTGGGTCACCTGTTCTGATGGGACACCAGATTTTCCCCAATCCCCAAATTATTATTATCTGAGCAAAGACAGTTAGGTCTAGTCAGAGAGTAGCTCTCAATCAGTATTCCAGAGCTCTACCCAAGCATGTTGCCTTATACGAACTATGATATTGTCTAAAACTAATGTTATGTTTATCTAACTCTTTAAGTAAATTATTTTTTCAACTTTCAAAGAGTTATCTTTCATAATTAAGTGTACCAGTGTCTGAGAATTTATCCATATTTGGATCAGTTAGGTCAGTGTGTCCTGCTGAATCCGGGATGATTGACATAAAAGCACAGAAACCTGGTGGGAACAGGTTGCATTTGTGACAACATCTAACCCTAGCAAGATAACTCTCTGCCAGGTATTTATTATTTGCACAAAAACATACAAAATAACACTATGCCAAGATAAAAGATGCGATGCATATAATACTATGCCAAGATGGTATAATTAAATGTATTTCAAGTTTGTCTCGCTTGGTTAGAGATTTTGCTCTTTAAAAACGAACTTACTTCTGCAAGTACAAGTCAAGGTTGCAGTTCATCAGAGATTCAGAGGAAGGACACTGTCTTTGCTTTCAGTTTCTGGATATCTGAACTTTTTGATGTTACTGTCTTATGATACACATCCCATCCTTCAGATTATCCATAATATTTCACGAAAACCTGAATATGTGGGTTAATTTCCACACATTACTTCAAATCACAATATTTGTGTCACCTAAAATACCAACTTCACAATACAATTTCCAACTGCTCTTCACCTCTACATTGTATATAATAATCCTTGCATTTGATTTAGCACTTTATCACCTCTTCAAGATGTCTCAACGTGTTTCACAGAATATACTGTATAATGTGAATTGCCTGCATATTTTGTGGGCAAAACGCAGCAGTCAATTGTGTACAGCAGTGTCCCACAAACCATCGTGGATTGAGTAACCAATTTATTATTATTTTTTTGAAGGAATTATTACCCCCAGAAAAACGATCCACCAATTGACAAACAACCAGGTTCCTACTTACTGCTAGGTAAACAGAAGCGTGTGTCGTAAGGAAACTTGCCCAATGTTTCACCCTGCCGGGAATTGAACCCAGGTCTCTCGCTTGCAAGACGAGTGCCCTAGCCACTGAGCTACAGGACTCCACAGGACTATATAAATTATTTGCTCACTTCAATTAAAACATACTATTCTTATAAAGAGCAGAAATAAAGCATGAAATACCAAGTTTGATTACTGAGGCCCCTTTCTATTCAAGATGCAGCTGCCGTAACAACTGACAGAGTCAACAACAGCAAAATTACATTTACGAAATTACATTGCGAAAACAGAATCAAATGCAGTCGTTAAAGAAAAATAGTAAACACAATATAATTATAATAAGGTTGCTAAAGAAAATCTGCATTTTTCACAGAAGAAATAGAATGGGGTATATTTTTTCATAGCTGATGTCTGGAATCAGATGCAACATACCCATAACTTAATTGCTTGTGTAATTTCTCAGACCACTAAATCAAACCAACATCATGTCTACTGGTTGCCAAGCGTCAAATTCTGGCATAGTAACCATCGTGCAAAACAAAATGCTGTTTCAGCTCTTAACACTTCGAAATTCTACTGATGTCGACCATCAATTCAACACACAGCGAGCTCGCACACCTCACCTCCCAAATATTTCACTGGTCATCATCTAACTACTAATTATTATGAGGCTCAAAAGAGAACGTATCCCCCTCCCACCCCACCCACCCTCTCTCCACACCCCTCCCCCGCCCAACATGGATCGCTCAGGTTCACTGAAGCTTACCCCTGATCTGAATTTTCCTTTACAAACTGACCAAGTGTTTTACACAAATACTGGCGTGTTATCTATTGCCCTCCCTCGCACACGGGGGGGGGGGAAAGGGGGGGAAGGTGACAATAGTCTCTTCTTTATTGCAGCGATGTCTCCCAAGAATCCAGTAGCCGGGCCCACCGGAGCAGCATGTGGCACAAGGAGGATTTACAACCTAACCTGCCTGCGTCAGGCCGCCGGTGATTGACACTCGACTGACCAATCACAAACCGAGCTCCAGCGAGCGAGGCGAATGAACCAGCGCCCCCCCCCACGAGGGCGGGACGAGCGCCGTCACGATAGGTTGACTTGCATTTTCCCGTAAAGTAAACAGAGAAAAGAATGATCGCTAAACACGGATCAAAACGCGCTCTTTATAGCGGCCGCTCGGGGAGGGGTGGGTGGGGAGGAGGTGCGTGGCTCGGGTTCACATCTCCATCCCTCCCGCGCCAAGTGTCAGGTCAGCGCCAAACGGAGGAGGAGAAATGCGGCGGTTTAATCAGGTCAGAGATCTTCCGGGCGAGGAGGGTTTTGTACGCTCGGCCTCGGCGAGTTGGCGACCTGGGCAACGAAGCGCCTTCTTTCAGACGGTTCTTATCCGTCCATAAAATGCAAATATCATTGGGCCCGACGTTTAAATCCGTTCGTACTAATTCTCGAAATGCGGGAGCTTTAGTTCCCCCGTAAGAAAATACATGCAAACTGAGCGAACTGTGTGTGTGTGTGTGTGCGTGTTGTGTGTGTGTGTGTGTGGAGAGGCCGCAGCGCCGGTTTGCACGGCGAGCACAGCCTTGGGAGTGGCGGCTTGTGGTCGGGGGGGGAAGAGAGAGAGAGAGAGAGAGAGAGCGCGCGCGTGACCGGTTTGTTCACTCACCGCCGCACGTTTCCACTCACCTGCCGCGAGGTGACCGGCTTTTAACGACAGGCCACTCACTGCCCACCGTTGGGGTTTTTTTTTTCTCTCTCCCTCTCCCCCCCCCCCGCCGCCGCCGCCGCCACCGCCACCACCCGCTCACCACCGGTAGAGGATTTTAAAACAAAAATTAAAAAAAACAAAAAAAAGACTTTGTGCGGTATGACCCAGAAAAAAAACAAAGCCGAACCGTTTCGGTTGTGTTTTTAAAAACCTCTTGCGCTGCCGCGCTCTCTTTCCGTTAGTCCGCCTCGCGCGACTTCAGTGAGCTCACAATCCCGCCATTTTGTCCTGGGCCGCCCGGGGGCTGCCAGCGCGCATGCTCCCGCCGGCCGGGCCCCCGTGCGGTTTGCCTGCTCTGGCGGGCGATGCCGGCGCTGGTGTTTCACGCCCAATTGGGCGGGTTTTTGGGCTCGCCGTGCGTGAAAAAAAAACGGCTTTTTGGGCCGGACCCTGTGTGTGTGTGTGTGTGTGTGTGTAAAAAAAAATTATATCTGCAATTACGTCGCCACTCCCCCCTCCCCACCCACGCCCCACTTTGAAGACCTTTTCTTAAAACAGTTTCGAAAGCACTCACCTAAATCGGTCACTCTGTGCTGCACCGTTGTAGCGGAGTGCGCTCCTTACCTCTTACCTCAAGCCCCAATCTGCCACCCGACGCCTCCGCTCGCCTGGCACCGGCCTCCTGCTTGGCCCCTCGCGCCCTCTGCCCCACCATTGGAGGTCGCGCGTTCATCCACTTCGCCCCAAAACTCTGGAAGGCTCAGTCCCTCCGGCCTTGCCCCTCTTCCCCTTTTTCAAGCCCCTCCTGAAAACCTTCCTTTTCGACCGCGCTTATGGTCACCTCTTCCTCCCCCCCACCACCCACCACCCAGCTCTTAGTCAGGCTCCACCACTGTTAAGCGCTCTGAGACACTAACCTCGTGGTTGATTTGGGACCGCAGATGTATTTTAATTTCTGACAATCCTAACTGGCAGCCAGTGCAGTGCAATATCCGACTGGTGTAGCGTGGCGCGTAAGGGTGACTGCTTATGTTGAATATGCCCCTATCTCTTATTACTTGAGGTGAGGGTTCTTAGTTTCCTGCCAGTCTCTTCCCTCCCCTCAAATAGGCAACAACAACAAATTACATTTGTATTGCGCCTTTCACGTCAAGAGGATGTCCCAAGATGTTGGACGGTCAGGGGGTTTGGGCCCAAGCGGGGGGTTGGGATCAGGAGGGATGGAGAACAGCGAGGGTAGGGGTAGAAGGGTGACTAGTCTATGGACCACAAATGGGCTTAAAGACAACGTGGCTTATTTTGAAGGAACAGTGCATGCGCAAACTTTCAACGTCGCACGACCGTTATATTAGAAGGCAAAGTACGGAAATAACAGGATGGCAGGACTTGATGTTTGACAGATATTCTGTCAGGATAGCACTGGTCCTGGAGTTGAGGGTGGACGCAGAGAGTTAAAGTTGGGTTGTCATCTGTGTACGTGTGGAAATTGACCCCATGTCTGTGGATGATGTCGCCAAGAGGGAGCCAAGTTTTGATTACATTTCAAAAATGATACAAACACAAACTACATTGAATAATTTGCAGAGAAATTTGCCAGCTGTTAATGCATTCTTACAAAGATGGGTTAAGAGGAGAGGACCAAGGACAGAGCACTGAGGAATGCTGCACGAGACAGTCTGGGGGCTGGAGGAGAAGCTGTTCGTGGAGACAAACTGGAGATGGTGCGAAAGGTAGGATGTGAACCAGTCAAAGACAGTCAACAAAACAATAATTTGCATTTATATAGCACCCTTCACTTGAGGCAGCATCTCAGAGGAAGGCAGGGTACCATTTGCAACCAGGAGGATGGGTGCGCTGCTCGCAAACATCCGCTGCAATTACATTACTGTATAACAAAAGTGACTGTGGAAACATGATTGTGAGCGCCTGGCTTAAAGATACGCTTCACTTGCTCCTCTCTGGCTTTCCAGTCTCTGCTTACAGTGACTGGGCTGAAATCTGCAAATTGAAAGTACCTGGACTCTCCTTTCATTTTTATTCGAAAAAAAATTAACGACTGCCATTCAGTAGTATAAGATGAGGTTCTAGTTGATATTCTTATTCTGTTAATTTCTCGGTCTTTGCTGGAAAGGGGTGAAGGTGAAATATTTGGCAGAGAGAGAGAGGGCTTTCTGTACTCTTTTGCGCAATGGGGTTTTGATGAGCATTACTGTAATAGTCTGACAAAAGGTCACAGACCCAAACCATTGACCCACTTTCCTTTCTCCATAGATGCTGCCTGACTTGCTGAGTATTCCCAGGATCTCCTTTTTTGTTTATTACTGTACTAATGGTTGTTGCTGAACTGCATTCATTACAATAATCTCAGCAATACCTGAGTTAACGGTTCCTTAAAGTTTTTCCTATTTACCCAATTGTATTACACAGACCCGAAGGCAGAAACCTGCAAATATACAAGCTGTTTTAATGTTGGAATTACAATTTCAAGGGAATGTCTAATCAGGTAACTAAGTGAAGGTTGACAACAAGAACCCATTGAGGCATGTGGATCACCAGTGGGAATGGTAACTGAATAGAAGTACAAGAGGGTGTAAGTCAGAGGAATTTAGGAAAAGAGTGGGGGCAAAGTGACTGAAAGCAAAGATGGTCTTAGGAGAAAGACACGTGGAGCAGGCTGAAATTTATGGAATGAGCTGGAGCATGAATGTGGAGAATTGCAGAGGTAGGCATGAAGGAGTCAGGAGAAATCAATGCTACATATGACATAAAGGTGTGTGATGAGGATTTCAGTTACATTGGAAATGAGCTTTAATTTCTGGTTACTTGTACATTCCCCCTGTTTCTGTTTGAACCTTCATAGGAAAACAATTTAAAAACTGCATAGAGCTAGAGAAAGCTGATGCTGCCAATGGAGGCAGTGTTTACAATGCTGATGCTGTTCTGATACAGAGAAAAAACAACTTTTTGAATTGAGTATTGTGATATCAGAGCCAGGAGCATTGTCTTATGTTGCATTACTGTGTTTTGTTACAATATATATATATTTTGTCTTTTTAGTCCCTCCTCTTCTAAAGTCTTAATTCATACATGATTCCATTCGCCTCCAGGTTTCATCCTCAATTCTAGGATTGTTACTGTTCTAATTGGCTGGAAAATAACAATATCAACTCCTGGATGTCCCTAAACTTCCTTCAGTTGGATAGCAATATGACTGAATCCATCTTGTTTGGCTCGTAGCTCTTCCCCGTCTCTTTTTGACTTTGGCTCCGACTCCATTAATCTCCGTGGTTGTTCGCTCCAGTGACTGAGTGTTATGTTCTCAACAATGATTGTGTAGAAAACGCTTTTATTCTCAGCTCACAAGTTACAAATCAAACAATCCAATCAAAAAATTGATTGTCAGTTCTCCCTGCTTCCTACTTTTCTACCTCCTGATCCCCTTACACTGGTCCTGGTTAATTGGCCCCAGAGCCCTTAATTAACCTTGTCGTTCTGTTTGACCCCCAGTTATGCATAAAACACTCTGTACCTTGATCAAATCTGATTTCTTCTATCTCCATAAGTTGTCTTTGTCTCTATCATACCCCCCGGAGCTCAAACGCTCAACTGTGCCTTCTCATCTGTATCATTTCCAGGTTAGACTTTTCCAGTTCTTTTTCCTGGTCTCCAAAGGTCAACTCTCAGAATAATTCAGCTCATCCAATAGTTTTCAGCCCTTATCCTTTCTTGCACTGGACGGTGCATTCAAATCTTCATCATGTTCCACTGGTTTCTGGGAACTAGAGGAAGAGGGAACTGTCTTCCCTCTTCTTTTTCAAAAAAACTTTCAACAATCTCTCTCTCTAAAAGGGCAAATTGTTGTTGAGTCAGAGCAGAATGTTCGGCACCCTTTTGTGAATTGACAGTGTTGTGAGTGGGTGAATTGTTTTGTGCTGTGCAGCTGAATGGACATTTTTCCATCTTTAAAGGGATCAAGCGAGCCACTGAATAATTTGCAGAGAAATTTGCCAGCTGTTAATGCATTCTTACAAAGATGGGTTAAGCGTAGAATTGAAACTGAAATGCCAGACAGTTTTAAATTGAAAGTGAGCAAAAGCATATGTATTAATGCAAGCTCTAATGTCTAAAAAATAGATTCACAACTGTTTGTTTTCTGTTGGTTATTGTTCTTCATAGTGCAGGATATACATGTAATGTCAATGAACAAATCACATTCAACAGGATGATGTAAACATGCATTACTTGCGGTATAATATGACTTTGAAAATTCAACAAAATTGAATATATATTTATAAAGTTTTGATTACATTTAAAAAATGATACAAACACAAACTACATTGTGGAATATTTACCAGATTCAATGACTGGCGAATCTCTCACTTGCTGACTCAATTTAAAAGACTGTGGCATTTCTGAAACAATATATTGTCTTTACTTTGGTGCCATGCCAACTGCATCATTCTGCCTCAGTTTCTTGTTCTAGGTATTTTTATATTTAAACTTAAAAAAAGTCATAAATAGAGCACCTCATTGAACATGCCTATAATTTACATATTTCCTTGCATGAGTTATCAGGCCATCCTACGCACCACTTGTGTAATTGAATTTAACAGATTATAACCTCCCTATGTTGATGCATTATACAGTGTAATATACATAACAAACATGATTAAAACATGTTAGATTTAAACCTTTACATGCAGTGACTAAAATTTGAAATGATATTTTTCAGGTGTCAACTTCGATGAGTTAAGACTGTCCCATGTTTGCTTTAAGTCAAAATGTTGTGGGTTTAATCCCCATGTTGGAACTCAAGCTCACAGTCGAGGCTGACGTTTGCACGTGGATGTTAAAGATCCCATGACAAAATTCAAAAAGAGAAAGTGAGTTTCTACAAGTGGTCTGACTAACACTCCTACAAATAAATTGGACATTCACTTCATGGTTATGAGTTGCTGTACACACAATGTCTGCTGAGTTTGCTGACAATTACAGTCATTACGTTTCACAGAAATTCCCTTGAAGCACTTTGAGATGTGTCAATGAAATGGGTAATAAATCAGATGCAAGGATTATTATTTTAAATGATGTATGATAGAATTTTTACTGTTTTAAATAAAACTATTTACTATTTCTGTTTATCAAATTGTAGCTCCTTTAACCATGGAACAGCAATGGAATAGGAAGGAAATCTCAAGATACATTTAATAATAATAATCCTTGTTTTTTGGTATTGCACCTTATCACGTTGGAAAGACATGTTAAATAAAAGGATAATAATAATCCTTGCATTTGATATAGTGCCTTATCACATCTTCGAGATGTCTCAAAGTGCTTCACAGAATATACTGTAAAGTGAATTGACTGTATATTTTGTGGGCGAAACGCGGCAGCCAATTGTGCCCAGCAGTGTCCCACAAACAGTCATGATTGAGTGACGAATTTTTTTTTTTTAAGGAATTATTACCCCCGGAAAGGCGATTCGACAATCAACTAACAACCGGGTTCCTACTACTTACTGCTAGATAAATGGAGGCGAGTGGAATAAGGAAACTTCCCCAACGTTTTGCTCTGATAAAACTAACTTAAAGCACTTCACAGAATTTACTGTGAAATGGTGTGACTATGTGTAGGCAAAAGCTGCAGCACAATTGTGTACAGCAATATCCACGAACAGCCGTGGAGTGAGTGACCAATTTTTTTATTTGGGGGATTGTTGGCCACGGGAGAAACCCACTTCTCTTTTCGAATAGTGCCATGTGGTCTTTAGCATCCACCTGAACAGCAGACAGAACCTTGATTAAAGAGGGGTACTTAACAAGCCCCCTGCTTGCTATTAAGATAGCCTCTTTTGGAAACTGTATATGTTTGCAGCTTGTGAGGACACAATATGGCTTGGAAGGGAGGATTTCTTGCCCTCTCTACCATTTTGATTTGAATAGCGTATCAACGAACAGTGTTGATATGCTATTCAGCACTGCTCGTTGGAGCACACATTATCCCGCCAGCCTGGTCAGGTGGACGTTAAAGATCCCTTGGCAGTAGTCGAAACGAGAAGGGAGAGATTCCCAGGATTTTGGTCAATAATCCCCTAAATAAAGTTGGCCATTTATTTCCCAGCTGCTTTTGGGACATTACTGTGTGCAGTTGGGCCTAAGCGCTCCGGGACACAATACACCCTTGAAAGGTGCTATATAAATGCAAGTAGTTGTTGCGTTTGCCTACAAATACACAGTCACTCTACAGTAAATCCTGTGAAACACTTTAAGATGTCCTCCCAGTGTGAAAGGCACTATATTAGATTCATGTATTATTTATTATTAATGGCCACTGGGCATTGGACAGTCATGACACTTTCCAGTAAAATCTGGAGCACTTTAAGATACACTCCCGACCCAAAAGACACATGATCAAATGGAAGGATGCTTCAATTACACTTGTTTGTGGGCCATTATTGGTGCACCTGAGCTTCCACATTCTATATTACTTGCAAAGTTATTTATTTCCAGATCATTATTCACATTCTTTGATTGTGTTATTAATTTAGGTTGTAAACCCTGTAGTTCAGATATATTACATTTTTCCTCTTGGTTATCCTGGTTTATAACCTCTCCTACTTCAAATTTACCCCCAAATTCAAATTAATTACATGTTCCTCTCATTGTTAATGGGAACGCTGCTGGCACAGATGAGCTGCCTTATTTGCCTATATAATATTCACTTCATCTCCAATCAATTATATTTTGTCAAGAGCTATGAGACGTTTAGTTTTGCATAAAAGGTGCTATATAAATGTAATGCTAATGAATGTTTCTGTAGAACTTAGGTTAAATGGATGGTTTAGAGTCTGATAGGATTCATGGTTTGTGGGAGGAGAGAGCTAATGAATATTTCTATTCTTACTTTTTATTGTTTCTCTTTTGCTTGATTTTGTTTAAATGTCAAGTGCTGATGACATAAAAGGGTTGCTGAGTCCAACAATACAAGGGAACTGAATTAACATAACCCAGCTGATGCTGAAGCACCCTTGGGTAATGAATAGATTTGTAATAATGGTAACTCACCTCTCTGGCAGTTTTAAGTCAGTAACTCAGTGATGTCATCATCATTCATTTCTTGAAGCAAAAATAAGAGGACTGCAACAAAAACAAAATAATGTTGAACAGAATTCTTTGAAGTGATGGTGATATAACCTCTTTGAGAAATCCCCTTAAAAAGCTAAATATCTGTATGTCATAAAGAATGGCCATAATATTGGTGACTGCCAGATAAGATTTTTAGGTTAATTTGCGTGAAGTACAAAAATCAATAACCTTTTTTTTAAAAAAAGTGAGATACGCATGTAAATTAAATTTTCTTGGGAGATATTGTAGTTGGTTGTAGGATGACATTTAATTACAAATATATATTGCACACAGATGCACCCTAATATATAATTGACATCGGTGTATAATAATGTTACCAGTGGTGGTGTTTGAGCTGGTCAGAGGAAGAGCTGATTTACTCATATAAGGTAATGCAATTTCTCCGGTTAGATCATTGTCATCCTGGGTTTAACACTGCAAGTGAAATCTGCTGTGCTGTACTTCAGTGCTGAAAACTGCTGCCCTAGTTCCACACCACAATTTATCTGCTTCCAGGCAACAACCTAAAAACGCAGCAGTACTGCCTAACAAACCTACTGTGTGCTGCTTATGTATTCAGCAACTAGATAGTTGGCAGGAAGCACAGTATTCATTTATAAATTACAATTGCAAAATCAAATTGCAACAGCTCTTCGTCACCAGAAAAGCAGAATTTCTAAGCTTTTGTAAATGATGGCTTCTAATATACTTGAATCTAAATGCACCATACTACATGTGGAGCTTTCATTCTGGACAATTTAAAGAAGAAACCTCATGTTGGTGCAGCCTGTACACAATGCATTGTAAAACGGAAGATCTGTTGTAAAAGTAATTGAGTCTGGTCTCTAGAGTTTACAGGCATTTTTAGCATGATGAGAGTAGGTTAACCAATGAAGATGCAGTAAATTGCGTGAGTGGTATGTATGTGAACAATAAACATTAACATGATTGCAAAAGGAATTTTTTTTAACAATTTGTCATTCTGTTTACAATTCCTATCTTAAAAGCACACCAGTAGAAATCTATGGACAATATTAGTAAATATTTGTGGAGTCCTGTAGCTCAGTGGTTAGAGCACTCGCTTTGCAAGTGAGAGACCTGAGTTCAATTCCAGGCAGGGCGAAACCTTGGGCAAGTTTCCTTACTCCACACGCCTAATAATAATCCTCCAAAAAACCCAAAACAATAATTAAATTGGTCATTTTCAATCTACGACTGTTTGTGGGACATTGCTGTGCGCAATTGGCTGCCGCGTTCGCCCACAAATATACAGTCAATTCACTTTACAGTGTGCTCTGTGAAGCGCTTTGGGACGTCCTCCTGACGTGAAAAGCGCTATATCAAATGCAAGGATTATTATTATTATTATTATCTAGTAGAGTTTTAGGTGAAGCGTAATTCACTTTCCTCATGAAGAAAACTGACTTGACATTTCACCATACTTAATTGCACATGGAACAAGTCAGCAAAAGTTATATTTGTTTATTGAACAACTTAAAGAGTAATTGATGCTTCAAATCTACATGCAATCAATGTAGTGCTCATATGTACATCCAATCAGTGTAGTGCATATATATCTTTGTGGCTTTTTACTATCAACAGTTTTTCACTGTCTTGTGAAATATTTTCAAGTTCATGATGTCTAGTGACTGAACCCCTGGGAGGGTAGCATGTGTTTTTGTGCCTGTGATTTCATGCATGGTCTGTTTCTCATAGGATTGGGTGGAAATTGGGTGCCAGTCATCTCAGATGCTTTCATATCTCTGAGGCAGGCACAGGGAGGAAGTGCTACAAGGAAATCTAAAGCAACTAAAATGAGGAGGAACACATACAGTATAAAACAAATTCTGTTCAACTTGGCACAGCTGGAATCACTCTCGCCTCTGAGTCAGAAGGTTGTGGGTCAAAGCCTCTGCTGCATCATTACCTTTAAAAAGAAATTCAGAGTCTAGGCTGACATTCCAATGCAGCTCTAAAGCTACCCTTCATTGTTGGAGGTGCCGTACTTCAGATAACAATAATCCTTGCATTTGATATTGTGCCATTTCCCTTGAGAGGACGTCTCAAAGCAATAAATAGGAATTGCTGTAATGTGCAATGATTGTTTATTTTTAGGCTACCATTTGGTCAGTTACTTAACGAACATGCAGAAGGGACCTTGTTTATTAATGAAAAAATCCTGCAAAGTACTTTGAGGTATATTGAATGAATTGACAAGGTGACATATCAAATGCAAGGATTATTTTATAATTTTCAACCTCATCTGTGGTGGCATGGAGTCACTACATTCAGACAGTTCAGAAAGCTTCTGTACTTAGTTACAATAGTTTGACATTCTACTACTTTGGGAATTAGCTTTACAACACCGGGTTTCTTTTACCACTTACTTGGAATTGAGAAAGTACTATTTCTCATGCTTTTCCTGTATTTTTTTTAGTTCGGTAGAGGCAGACATCATTATTGTTCAGGTGAAATGATGAAATAAAATCTAACCTTAGAACCCAGAAGCTGCCGGATTCCACGTCATTCCATCACATAAGCAAGGTGTGTGACCTCATGGTCTGTTGGTAAAAGACCGCAAATGACCTCGCCAGAGAATTTGATGACTTCTCTCCTTAAGAGCACCCACTTGAAAACTTGTTTCTGCTGTGCAGATGAAATTATGGAAATTAATTTGGTGTTAGGAA